ACATACACTATACAAAGATGAAATGGAGAAGACAGAAAGAAAGTGAGGAGGTTTCAACATCTCAAGAGACACCATGACCAAGTAGGATTTATTCCTGGAATAAAAAGCGGTTCAACATACAAAAAAATCAAGCAATGTAATAAACATACATTAACAGAATGAACTGGGAAAAACCTAAACACATGATCATCTCAGATGATGCAGAAAGAAACATCTGACAACATCTTTCATGACTTAAACACACACACACACACACCCGCACACACACACCCCACACACATTCAACAAACTAGGAACAGATGGAAACTTCCTCAACATGATAAAGCCCATATGCAGAAATCCTCAGCCAACACCAAACACTATGGGGAAAGGCAGAAGGCCTGTCCTCCAGGATGCCCACTTTGCCTCTTCTAATTCACATAACACTGAAAGTTCTAGCCAAAGCAATCAGGCAAGAAAAGGGAACAAAAAGCATGAAAACTGGAAAGAAAAATGTTAAGATTATTTCTGTTTAAAAATGACATGATCCTGTACACAGAAAACCCCAAAGATTCCAGAAAATTCTGTTAGAGCTAATAAATGAATTTAACAAAGCTGAGGGTACAGAATCAACATGCAAAATCACTTTCATTTATACACTAGCAATGAACAATCCAAAAAGAAAATTAACAATTCCATTTATAGGGCTGAAGGTGTAGCTCAGTGTTAGAGAGTCTGCTTAAGCATGCTCACATCTAGCGCGCGCAACACACACACACACACCTATTCATTTACATAGCATCAACAAGAATGAATTACTTAGAAATAAATTTAATCAAGAAGTTGGGGAGGACAACAATACACAGAAAACTACAAAACAAAGCTGAAAGAAATTAAAGACATAAATGGAGAGACACCCCCTGTTCCTGGGCTGGAAGACTTAATAGTGTTAAGATGACACTACGACCTACGACCCAAAGAAATCTAAGACTGAATGCAATTCCCATCAAAATCCTAACAGCGTTTTCTTAGAAAATCCATCATTAAATTCCTGTAGAATCTCAAGAGATTCTTAAGCCAAAATGATCTTGAAAAAAGAAAAAGTTGGAGGAGTCATACCTGATATCAAAACTTACTACACAAATAACTTTGGTAATCAAAACAGGGCAGTGCTGGCATTAAGACAGACATACAGACTAACAGAATAGAACACGGAGCTCAGAAGTGAAGCCTCACATAATCAACTGATTTTCAACAAGGGTGCCAAGATCATTGTGTAAAGATAGGAAAGACTTTTTATCCAAGGTCTTGAGAAAAACCTCATAGCCACAGGCAAAAGGATTAGGTTGGATCATTATACTACCTACAAAAATTTATTCGAAATGGATCAAAAGGAGGCTGGGAATATAGCTCAATAGTAGAACACTCGCCAGCATACACCAAGTCCTGGGTTTGATCCCCAGCCCTACCTAAAAAAAAAAGACCTGAAAGCCTAAACATAAGAAACTAAACTATAAAATTCTTAAGACAGGGAAAACATCATGACATTGGATTTAGCTGGATTTGGCAATGATTTCTTGGCTATGACACCAACATGAATTTTGATTCTTAAAGGTATAAACTGACATTTCTGCAGCTCCACACAGTATTCAGGCCTAAAAGCATGTAGTCACACTGTGAGGTGATCCAGGTCTCCCGACTCTGCCTTCTGCCTTTCCCTCCTACCTCGGTCTCCCCCTTCAATAGTTCCTCTCTCTCCTCCTCTCAGTTTAGTTTCCCCCAAGGGCCTGGCCTTCAGCCTCTGGCCACTAGGCACTGGAATTATCACCTGTCTATACTGAATCCAGGTCTGAAATAACGCCCTATTTCCAACTAATAAGACTACCCTTTGGGGCTGGGGATGTGGCTCAAGCGGTAGTGCGCTCCCCTGGCATGCATGCGGCCTGGGTTCGATTCTCAGCACCACATACCAACAAAGATGTTGTGTCCACCGAAAACTAAAAAATAAAATGTTAATAAAAAAAAAATCGGCTCTGGATTCTCAACTTCCAAATGATAAAACCAGCCTACACAGCCACTCACAACCCCTTATAACATGGAGGGAGCTTTCTGCACCCCACGGCTCTCCATGATACAACCAGCCATTAAACATGTTTCCCCCCAAAATACACGCTCTTCTAGGCCAGCCCCACCACTTCTCTGCCCAGCAAGTTTCTAGTCATCCTTCAGAACACTGTTCCAGTCACCTTTTCTGTACTGTTTACTTTTCCTCTGAGCCTGCTATTCAAAGTATGGTCCTTGGGCCGCACTATCAGTATCCGCATCACCCCAGGGCTGGTTAGAAATAAATGCAGATTCCCAGGCCCCGCTCTAGTTCTACTAAATCCCCATGTAAATTACGAGTGTGAGTTGTGCAAGTTAAAGTGTAAGAAGTGCTATCTCAGGGAATTTGCCAGCCCTGGGCTCAGTGCTGCTGAGGCACTTTAGTGTGGCGTTCATGAATCCACTCCTCAGAGACAGGTACTGTGTCTTCCTCAAAAGATGGTGCCTGGCACACATCAGGTGAGGCTCTCTCATGGGATGCATAAGAGGCAAGCGCTTCCTCCACTCATCTCCTCCACGAAGGCAGGGAAACTCAAATGCCCACATTCCAGCCTCTGTGGAGTCACGGTTATAGTCAGTGAGATGCAGCAGAAGCCTGCTGCAGGGGCTTCTGGAACAACTTCTATTACCCTAATGACTTCCTGCCTTCCTGGGTAGAATGTAGGGTATTGTAGCTGCCATCATCAGGCAACCATGAGGGACAGGCATGAGACTAAAAAGCCAATAATATCTAAGAACAATAGGGTGGGAAAACAGAAATGGTGCAGGTCCATTGAACCACCTCAGAACCATCCACCCCAGAACTCCCACATGAGCTAATTGAGCATTTCTACTGCTAAGGCACTCTCACTGGGGACTGTTCTATCTTGTGCAGAATGCATTCCCAACTGATGGAGTAAAACTTCAGTAAATGGGAGGTGAATAAATGAATGCCGAGTAAAATGTAAAGGTTCAGAAGATGACGTTTTTTAAAAAATACAGGTCCTCTAAGAATCTGCTCTACTTTGCCAAAGCATGACTATGAAGTCTCTGCACTTTTAGAATTATTGACCCATTTCTGTTCATAGCTTAATGGATAAAAAAGTGAACATGACCTCATAAAAAGTAATGGAAATGACCTCCAAGAATCCATCCAACTTTGCCAAAGTTGCCATTAATCAGTCCCTGCACTTGCAGACTTATTAACCCACTTCTGCTCACAGCTTCATGGATTAAAAAAAATGAACACCGTATTATAAAAGGCAATGAAAATCTTCACATGCTAAGATGCTGTAGAAACTGACTTTCACATTTTGAAAAAGACCAGAAAACCAAACTTAACATCACACTCTGGCCTTGAAAACTTTCAAGTGCTATGGCTGTTTACAGGCAGCTCTAAGCAAAGAGCAGGAAACACAAAGAACCTACTACAATAGCCAGCTGGTGGCCATTCTCCTACCTTCTAGAGATCTCTCATACAGAACTCTCTTTTTTCCAGCCCTTAGCTCACTGAAGTATTTCCATTCAAATTTTCAAGATCAAACAGCAACCACTTTTTCTTGAGAAAAACATTACTGGGCAACATAAAAAATACAAGTAAAAAGTATTAAAAGGGAAGGGATGCACACCAGCAGTACTGCTTCTCAGCAAGAAAGCAGGACCTTACCCAAGTGCAGACTCCTCAGCCAGATCACCATTTTATATTGTAATCAAATCATTTACTTAATAAATGTATTTTAGAAAGAAACTTGATCAAACCAATGGAAAACCAGCACCACTTGCCATAAATAGAAAAGACAAATGAAAAAATAAGCCCAATAAAAGGATGACTTTATTAAATCTAACTACCGCTGCCTACCAAAGCCTCTAAACTTGAAGGTTGTTCCATCTTTAAAGGGTGGACATGGGGGATTGGAAGAGGTGTTACAAACAGGCTAATATCAAGCTGCAACTTTCGCCTCCACAGGATCAGGATATAAAGAGAACAAAAAGGAACTGATTTCCTCACAATGTGACTTCATTCTATTTAATACCACAACATCCCACCTAAAAGTGTCCCTTACACAATTGCAAATCATCTTCCCCTTCTGCTTAAAATAAGAGCCTAATTCCATAATGCAGCCTAAATGGCCCTCCACCAACTGGGCCAAGCTCATGGCTGAGGTCTCAAATCTCCCCCTCACTATACGGGTAGCCACACCAGCAGACAGCAAAGAGGACCCAAAGCCACCTCCCCCAATTTAAAGTAGACTGCCAGCTCATCAATCACATCACCAGGTGATGCTTTCTTCAAACCACTATCTATCTGATATTATCTTCTTAACTTATTAAAGTGTTTAATAACTTTTTTTAAAAAACGCATGGTACTAAACAACTGAAGCACTTAACATAGGTAGGTTGACTACTATTAAGTACCAATCTGTAAGTCAAAAATGGGTAATTTCCAAGTGTCCAACCTAACGCATCAACTAGTATGCTATAAATTGGTAACCAGATTGGGGGGAAAAAAAATAATAAGTGGCACAGAGATGGCAAGTTACTTGCTGAGAGTCATACCACTACTAAGTAGCAGAACCAGGATTTGAACCCAGTTCAACATTCCCTGACCCATTATCAACTCCCAAGTTCCATGAAAGCTTTGCTCAGGGCAAAAAATCCCTCCCCAGTGCCTAACTCAGGACCTGGCACACACGCAGTGGGCTCTCAATACACCATGATGGATGGCCGGACAGATGAACAGATGGGTGGGAGGGAGCGATGATGGGATGGATGGATGAACGCACGAAAGAGTCTCCCTTGCAATCGGGGTGCGGGTCACGGTCACGCGCCCCGACCGCCCTAAGCACCCGGTGCAGAAGTGGGCCGGCCGGAGGAGCCCCGGGAAGACTCGGGCGGCGGATGCTCCCGGGGCCCGGGGCGCGGCGCGGCGCGCGGCTCACCTTGAAGTCGCGGCTGTGCTGCGGGGTGTACTCCAGGGTCCAGAGGGCGCGCACCAGGTGCGCCAGCTGCTCGGTGACCTCGCCCTGGCCCTGCGCGCCGCGTCCCGAGGGCTGCTCGGGGTCAGGCGAGGGCTCCGGCCGCCCCGCCCGGTACTGGCCGAGCGCCAGGTACTCGGCGAAGAGCTCGGTGTTGCTGAGGCACTGCAGCGTGGCGTTCATGAAGCACGTGTTGCCGTGGTTGCGGAGCCCCGCCACTCCCGGCACCGGCTCGGCGGCGCAGGCGGGCGGCGCGGGCGAGGCGGGCGGCGGCGGGCAGGGCGGCGGCGTGGGCGCGGCGGCCGGCCCGGGCGGGAAGCAGCTGCGGAGGCCGCCGCGGTCCGGGGCGGCGCCCTCGGAGCTGAGGTGCGAGAGCGTGGACAGCGTCTTGAGGACGCGGCTCATGAAGCTGCCCACGGAACGCGCCGAAGAGGGCGAGGAGGGCGCGGCCGGCCCGGGGCCCCCCGCGCCGCCGCCGCCCGCGCGGCCGCTCCGGAACAGCCGCTTGCTGAAGGAGCGCTTCTCCTTCCCGCCCGCCGCCGCCACCGGCGGCCCGGGCCCGGGCGCCGTTACCTTGGACATGGCGGCGGCCGCCGACGCTCATCACCGCGCCCGCCCGCCCGGCCCGGGACCCCGCCACGGCCGCCGGCGCATCCCGCCGCGCCGCGCCTCACCGGGCCCGGGGGCTCGACGCCCCACACACCTCAGAGCGCCGCCGAGCCAGCCAGCGAGCGAGCAGCGGCCGGCGGGGCGGGCGGGCGCGCGCGCGGTCCGCCCAGCTGGGCCGCTCACGTGACCGCCTCTCAGCGCCGCCCGCCCGGGGCTGAAGCCGCGCCGGCCGCCATGTTGACTGTGGGAACGGAGCGCCTCTCCAGCCGGACTCTAGGACTCGCGGCTCCGGGCGCGGTCCTGCGGCGTGAAGCCCGAGGGAAGCCATGTCTAGTGTGGGCATGGTCCAGGCGTAGGGGAGAAGGCTAGACTTGCGCTGGGTGGGGGACCTCCGCGGGCGGGTCTCTGTCGTTGCTAATCAGATGGTAGAGGTCCAGGGAACCGAACAGCCTGATTTCCACGTCTGCCCCTGACGAGACCGTGGAAGAGCTAGTGGACGTGGCTCTGTCCAGTCCTGGGCAAGGTAGCCCTGCCTGACTCGCGAGGGACGTTGCAGATCCCTGCTGCCTGCGCACCACCCGAACGCCGTCACGGAGCAGGGCACATTCCGGTGGACTTTTCTTCCAAGCTGTACCTTGAGGTCCCGGCGAAACGGTGTTATCAGAATTACTTTGCTTTTCAGAGCAACCTTTCAAACCTCGCTGAGCTCTCCCATCGTTCATTCGTTCATTCATTCGGTCGGTTAGTCAGTCAACAGATTATTGAGCACCTGCCAGGCACTGTATGGTGGGGATGCGACGGCGAATGAAACTAACATGGTTTCTGCCTGTCCGCCTGCAAGCTACACTCTTGGTGAATACTTACGATGGCCTCCATATGCCACGCATGTAGATCTTTAATCTTCAATCCAGCGCCTTTGAGATTACCCCCATTAAACCCAAGTTTGAGTCAAATCCCTAAACTTGATCTCTAATCCAGGGGTCACAGACCACAACTGTCACGGTGACCAGAGAGCTCACAGCAACGAGTGAAGAATCATCTGTTGACCTATAATATTTAATTAAAGTGCGTTGGCTCTCAATGTTGGGGAGAATATAAGAAAAGATGGGGACAGACTACGAATCAGCATCTTTCCTTTTAAATGAGTGGCGTCCGCTCAACTCTATAGTCAGTTGTTTCCATGCAAGAATGATGACTGTGTTGCCAGATCATCCGATTTTTAAAGAGAAGGCGGAAATCCTATTTTTAAATGGTGGTTCAATTTAAAAAGAAAAAAAAATTAGTGCGGGGGTGGGGGAAAGAACAGTATGTATTTAAGCTGCTTTCCAGCCCCAAAGCCACGGGTCTGTGACCTCTTCTGTGTGTATTCTCTTTGCTAAGTCCTGGTTACTGAAGAAGAGAAAAATCATCGGAGAACCCTTTGCCTTTTCAAAACGTGAAGGTCATCTTAGGCCCATTTCAAAGTAAGTGGCTGTTGTCTTTGACCTCTTCCCAATAAGTAGGGTTCCATAGTAATACCCCTGGGGTTCTCTGCAGCGGCCCAAACCACCTCTATTCCCACCCTTAGTCAAAATATCCGTCCCTCTGTGCACCTTCAGCTCATCAGGACATCAGGAAGAAATCTGTCTGATCACTCATCCTACAAGAAAACACAATGACCTTCAAGGTTTGCACACATTTGCTGTTCCAAGCCTTTGTGCAATGGGTTCCCTCTGCTGTAAACATCTCTCCTTGAAATTCTTCACTTAGCTAAACTCTCCTCATCCTCAATGTCTCACCTTAGGCATCAACCCCTCCAGGAAGCTGCAACCCCTACTGCAGGCTGTCTTGGTCCCTCTAAGTCATGACACTGACTTGATCACATTGAAATTCAACTTGCAATCTGTCACCTTCACTCTGAGTTACAGGCTTCAACCCAGAAGAGACCCATCTTACTCAATACCCAATACTGTAAGGTATAGCTATTATGAAGCAATATCTAAATGACATCTGAACTCTTCGAAGGACACCTGAGAACCCCCCCCCCCAGTCTGGCCTCTCCTACCCTTCTAGGCTTCTTGGTCCTCAAGGACAACAAAGCCATAGAGATTGGCCAGAACGGGCTTGAAAGAGTTCCTAGTTGGAGCACTCAGTCATTCTTGTAGGACTTACCCCAAACAACATTCTGTAGTAAATCTTCTGCTTGGACAGTAGCTCAGTGGTAGAGTGCTTGCCTAGAACACATGAGGCCCTGGGTCCCATCCCCAGCTCTCTGGGTGGGTGGAGTGGAAGGTGGGTCAATATAATAAATTTTCCACTGTTCCCCCTTATTCTTAAGCTATTCATTGATTCAACACAAATAAAAGTGACATTGCAGGAATATTATCATGACCTATGCTTCGTCCACTCCTGCATCTCAATCCTTCGATGGAAACCTCAGATCAAAGGGTACACACATTTCGTACAAGACACCTATTGTCACTCTGACCTCTAGAAATGTTTTATCCAGCCAACAGTGAATAAGGAGCACACATTTCCCACCTCCAAGATAGTGTTGAGTTTTACAGTCTTTTTCACATCAGCAAATTTAACGACCAATAACCCAGATGTCGGCATTATGCCTGGGTCATCAAAAGGCCTGGGTTTGAATAAGTTAACACTGCTTCACACTTGAGAGATGACTGGAGGAAAATGACCTATTTCTTCAAGAGTCAGTTTTTCATCTATGAAAAAGAGTCATCCCTGATTCTTCACATTTTTATGGATATTAGTATATCCGATAATATATCCAGGTGCCTCGTACCCTGCTGGTAAGTAGCAGGCAGAGTGCGATTTTATTCAACACGAGAACAAATTTGATGAACAATGTGACGGCATGTCGGTTTGCTTCTCAATTGAATGAGGTTGAATATCGTGTGCCGGCCTTTGAGCTATCCAACATTTAAAGCTGCGCCCTGTCTAGAAGGGATACCAAATTAGGGAGGACAACCCAAACTCGTGTTATAAAAACTGGGCCAGAATGGAGAGAAGGTGTTCCCCTCCCACTTGATCAGTCACCCCCTGTTAGCTAGAAACCAGGAAGGTGAGCCAGTGAACACCAGCCAGAAGCTCCTACCTGGTCTTTGGCTCTGGGAGTGTAGATACAAAGTTACTTAGAGATAATGCAATAAATGAGCGAGTGTTTTCAGCAGTGTGGCAGGCGGTGGTGGACAGGGCCAGGGACAGTGGCAACAGTCTCTGGCTAGCTGCTCTCATGACAAGTTCTGACCAGTATCTGCCTTCCTGCATTTCTGCCCAAGCCTGTTCTCCGGCTCTATTTATTCTGTGAACTAATCTGATAGGCTTCTTATAAATTCCTTTATTGCTGAAACTAACTGGTGTCAGTTTCTGTTGTTTGCAATCAAGAAAATGACTAGCAATGTCTTTTTATTAGCAATTTGTATTTTTACTTTTGTTGTATTCCTTTTATAAACATTGCCTGATAAAAATCACTTTATACATGAATTGTATTACTCCTTGGTCTACCCATTTCACTTGGTCGTGTTTACACTGTTTCTATATCATAGAATCTTAGTTATTTTATGTAGTCAAGTGGAAGCTTCTGATTTTTTGGGCATGGTTAGACAAACAGCCTGCCCCTGCTTTGTCTGGAACTTATTTTTGTGTGAGAAATGCAGTAAGAATCTACTATGGCTTGAATGTCATCTGTCCCCAACAAAACTCATGCTGCGGTTTGATCCTTATATGGCAGTGTTGAAGACTGAACCTAGGGGCAGGTATTTGGGTCAGGGAGCAGAGCCCTCATGAAGGGATTCATGCCCTTCTCAGGTGAGTGCCTTCTTGTCTGAACACAGCTGGATTAGTTACCACAGGAGCAAGTTGTTACAAAGCAAGTTTAGCTTCCTTCACTCTCTTGTGCTTCTCTTCCAAGTGGCCCACTTGCCCTTCGGCTTTGTACCATGTGTTGAAGCAATACAAGGCCCTCACCGCATGCTGCCACCAGACCTCGGAGTTTCTAGCCTTCAGAACCATAAGCCAAAATAAACCTTTTTTCTTTATAAATCACTGAATCTTAGGTATTCGTTATAGCAACAGAAAACAGACTAAGACAAGATGTTGCCTTTTCCCTCCCCTATATGGGTAGCCAACTGTCTCAGCACTATTTTTAAAAACAATCTAACCTGAGGGGAGTGGAAGGGGAAGTGTAATACTGGCCAAATTATATTGTTATATTGTGTGCATGTACAAATATGTAACAACAAATCCCATCATTATGTACAATTATAATGCACCAATAAAAAATGGGAGGGGGGGCTGCAGTAGTGGCTCAGTGGTAGAGCATTTGCCTGGCATGTGTGAGGCCCTGGGTTCAATCCTCAACACCACATATAAATAAAAAAATAAAATATCCATTGACAACTAAAAAATATATATTTTTAATGTGGGAAAAAAATCTAAACTTTTCCTCATTGTTTTAAAATGCTACTTCATCATTTCTTAAACTCTACCTACATTTAGGCACTTAAAAAATAAATTATTCCATCCCATTGACATGCCTCTACCTTCCAGAGTCATATAGATTTACAATACATTGAAATGTTTGATAGGCTAATACTGTCTAGTACTTTATTAGCTATTTGCTTGTTCTCTCAATTTAATTTAATCCTTTTGGGTTTAATTTATAGGATTAATTTAGGAGAAATTGATATCATCAAAATATTCATCTTATCTGAGGATTAAGTATGTCTTTTAAAAAATCATACAGGGGCTTTTAATATCCCTCAGTGGATTATGGTTTTCTTCTGTAAATCTTGTACAACATTCATAGATTCATTCCTATTCGTCGCTTATTATGAATGGGATATTTTTATGCCTTCATATTTTCTGCAGTTTGTCAATAGGGCTAAATAATTTTTATAACCTGCCACCATGAAGAACTTTAATTCTTTCTCATAATTTTCAGGTGATTCTCTTAGGTTTTTCAGGAACTCATG